TATTTTCCCAATTAGACTGAATATTGGCTACAGATAAATATCTATTTTAGAAAGAGTTATTCCTGTTACTGCTAACAAAAAGTTAAAAGATCTCCACAGAAATATAAATTACAGTGCAAATCCAACAAATAGTATACAATCTGAAATAGATACAGGAATGTTTGTATATTATTCCTCCCGAATTAGTACATAAACCAGAGCTAAATTCAGCACAATTTCCTTTCCATTAAATTCATCAACCATTACAACTGCAATCCTTTGCAAGTTCATCTGGGCTAAAGTCTTTGTGCATAAGTATATGTATGCATAAATGTGGGGGGGGGGGGGAGGTGACAGTAATTTCATGCCATTTTACTCATTTAATTATTGTCATGTAAAACTGTGTTTATAGCCCAAACTTATGTATAATTATTTACATTAGTTTATTGGGATGGAGTCCCCAGTGGTGCAATGGGTTTAACCCTTGTGCTGGCAGGACTGCTGACCAATAGGTCAGCGGTTCGAATCCAGGGAGAGCAGGTTGAGCTACCTCTGTCAGCTCCAGCTCCCCTTGCGGGGACATAGAAAAGCCTCCTACAAGGATGGTAAAACATCAAATATCTGGGAGTCCCCTTGGCAATATCCTTGCAGATGGCCAATTCTCTCACACCAGAAGCAACTTGCAGTTTCTCAAGTCGCTCCTGACACAAAAAACAACAACCCAGTATTCGAATGTTAGTCTGTTTCAGAAAAGCCAACCAAAGAGACTTGTGTCACATAAAAGACTTGTTTGTTTATTTATTTGTTTACGATATTTCTATCCCGCCTTTCTCAAACCCGAAGGCGACTCATTAATTTTACTGTTGCTTAACCTTTTTACGGTCCACTTCATATTTTCACACAAATTTGTACTGTAATAAAACTAATGCTTTAGGACCTTCAAACTTAGCCTTTAAGATGCCACATATATTGGTGTTGATTTTTTAATAAAACAAGCTAAGTGAAATAAAAGTATGGCATGCGTATAAGTATGCATATATTTATGCAGAAGACGATCCAATAATCAGGCAATACTTTTGACCAGTAACACTATGTAATAAAATTTGATTTTTTTGTGTGTGTTCCTGGTTTGAAAGTGTTTCCTGTTTAACTGTGTGGTACTAACTTTGAAAGTAATTGTTATACTCCAGAAACTTCATTATAGTGGCTGTTACAAACTATGTTGAATTGGTTGAGACTTGATGACATATTCATTGAAAAACTATAGCAAAATGTGCTGCAGGATGTATCGCAAAAACAAAGTCTTTGCAGTTTAATAAACTTTTCCCATGTTTTTATTTCAGAACCAATTAGGAAATGACATTTATAACCCAGGAAATAATGTTATACAATGTAATCAGCCTGGAGCTTTGATGAAAAGTTACTTCTTCAAAGATAAAGATAAATGAATTATTTTCTCATATAGTTCGCACTCTTATGCACACTGTATCTTAATAAACTTTGTTTTTCATATCAGGAACAACTTGAGAAACTGCAAGTCACTTCTGATGTGAGAGAATTGGCCATCTGCAAGAATGTTGCCAAAAGGACACCTGGATGTTTGATGTTTTACCATCCTTGTGGGAGGCTTCTCTCATGTCCCTGCATGGAGAGCTAGAGCTCACAGAGGGAGCTCAACCCACTGTCCCCAGATTTGAACTGCTGACCTGTCGGTCATCGGTCCTGCCAGTGCAAGTGTTTAACCCATTGCACCACCAGGGGCTCCAGCTACTTTGGTGTAACACTGAGATAAACAAATACTAATTCACACACAGCTGCTTCTCAACAATAGGCAATGCCCTGGACAAGGACGTTTATTCCAACTTTCAGGCCTATTAAAGTAAGGCCACGAGTCTTAGTCATCATTGGGAAGCCTAGTTGAATTTAGGCTTCTATGTGTTGTAGAAAATACTATTTCAAGACTCACTTCCCACAACTCATTGATTCTTGTGATGTTATTCTTTACGGCAAGTGATCTACATTTAGCCATATTTATGGAAACACTCGCTTATTCAGTATCCCCTCCTAAATAAACAATGTTTTATTATAGTACTATCTATGAGGAATATAATACTTCATACTTTTCAGCCACTGCTGTATCTTTTAATGTGTTTTAGATGACATCATTCAGGTTCATTTTCTAACAATCTGCCAATAATATGTGTGCAGAGGACACTGTATTTTGATCCAGTGATTTCCTTCCAGGAACTGATTCACATTAAATACATACGTACAAAGCACAAACTGTCTTTTGTGATACAGAGTCAGCTCTGAACTGCAGGTAGCTATCTTCTTAAAGCAAACCTACTGCATTATAGAATACAAGAATAGTCTTCCCTCCCATGAGCCTGCAGCAAACTTCCTATCAGGGATTACAAAATGAGAGAAAAGGGACAGCTATGGACTTCATCTCATTCTTTATCCAAATTATATTAACCTAGAATGCCTTAAATCATCCAAATTCTTAATGCTACAAATTACATAAGAACAAGAGTCTTTTACCCTGAAACCTCTGAACCACAAGAATACTTCGAAGTACCTTAAAAACCCTATAAAATATTCATCACAATCAGCCACAGCTTCAGCTCTTCTCTGGTCCCCAAACCACTTAGTTAACATGTACTGCTGCTACAGAAATTGATGCTGGAAAGAAATCTGCTTGATGCTGTCTTCGGATCCCACACAGGGGATGAGAAAGGGAAGCAGGTCTAGAATACAGAATGAGAGCACCTCCAGACAAGGAACAAGCGAAGGAGCGCAAAACCAAGGCTTAAATATCCTAATCATCATGACATAGGAGACCCCGGTGGCGCAGTGGGTTAAATTCTTGTGCCGGCTGAACTCGTCAACTTAAAGGTTGGTGGTTCGAATCCAGCAAACAGGGTGAGCTCCCATCTGTCAGCTCCAGTTTCTCATGTGGGGACATGAGAGAAGCCTCCCGTGGGATGGTAAAAAATCATGGCATCCCCTGGGCAACGTCTTTGCAGATGGCCAATTCTCTCAAACCAGAAGCAACTTGCATTTTCTCAAGTAGCTCCTGACATGGGAAAAAAATCATGACAGTCCAACATTAGGGGTGTGTGCACAAAACCACAATGGGGACTATAACTTTATACAAATGAGGTCCCATTCAGTTACACATATCTGTACGGGATGCTCAAATTGGTCTGCAGCAAACACAGCAGCCTAGATTACTGGGAGACCTTAAATGGATGTTCACAGAATGGAATAAGCAAAGGTTCAATTATCTGGCATCGTATTCTTTTACAGGTTTATTCTGCCACATCTCCTGATCCATCCCATGTATAGTTGGCTTAGAAGCCAACATCAGTCACACTAGACAGATGCCTTAAGACAATGGTTCTCAACCTCCCTAATGCTGCAACCCCTTAATACAGTTCCTCATGTTGTGATGACCCCCAAACATACAATTATTTTTGTTGATACTTCATAACTGTAATTTTGCTACTGTTATGAATCGTAATGTAAATATCTGATAAGCAGGATGTATTTTCATTCACTGGACCAAAGTTGGCACAAATACCCGATATGCCCTAATTTGAATACTGGTGGGGTTGGAGGAGGGATTGATTTTGTCATTTGGGAGTTGTAGTTGCTGGGATTTATAGTTCACCTACAATCAAAGAGCATTCTGAACTCCACCAAACTTGGCACACAGAACTCCCCTGACCAACAGAAAACACTGGAAGGGTTTGGTCAGTATTGACCTTGAATTTTGGAGTTGTAGTTCACCTACATCCAGAGAGTGCTGTGGACTCAAAAAATGATGGATCTGGACCAAACTTGGTACAAAGACTCAATAGGCCCAATGGACACTGGTGGAGTTTGGCGGAAATAGACCTTGACATTTGGGAGTTGTCATTGCTGGAATTTGTAGTTCACCTACAATCAAAGAACATTCTGAACCCCACCAATGATAGAACCAGGCCAGACTTCCCACACAGAACCCCCATGATCAACAGAAAATAATGTGTTTTCTGGTGGACTTTGGAGACCCCTCTGACACCTCCTCGCAACCCCCCTCAGGGGTCCTGACCCCCAGGTTGAGACACACTGCCTTAAGGACTACAAGTTTTTTTAAGATGCTGTGGACAGCCAAGCTGGGTAATCTATCTATCTATCACAGGCATGGGCAAACTTGAGCCCTCCAGGTGTTTTGGACTTCAACTCCCACCATTCCTAACAGCCTCAGGCCCTTTCCTTTTCCACCTCAGCCACTTAAGCAGGAAAGGAAAGTAAAAGAACTCCTGCCTTCCACCGAGAACTGGGAAGCCCTGGCCCTTGAGTGCTCTAACTGGAGGTCAGCTGTGACCAGCAGTGCTGCAGAATTTGAAGACGCATGAATAGAAGAAAAAAGGTGCCAAGAGGAAGGCACATAAAGCCAACCCTGACTGGGGACTGCCTTCCACTTGGATACCAATGTCCTCACTGAAGGAGAACATGTGGACCAAGTCAAGAATAGGGCTCCACAGCCACCTACTGACAGACCACCAAGAGACTTCATTTGGAAGTTGAGCTACGAGGGATCACCTTAGTAAGTAAAGGGTAAACTTCAGCCCTCTAGGTGTTTTGGACTCCCACAATTACTAACAGCTTAAGTGGCTGAGGGGGGAAAGGAAGGGGCCTGAGGCTGTTAGGAATGGTGGGAGTTGAAGTCCAAGAGGCTTGTGGCTGAGGGGGAAAAGGAAGGGGCCTGCGGCTGTTCGGAATGGTGGGAGTTGAAGTCGAAACACCTGAAGGGCTCAAGTTTGCTCATGCCTGCTCTATCAGCTTGGACCTGGAGCCCTGTGTGAAAACCTTGCCTCAGTCAGTGGAGAACTCCCTGAGAGGAGGGGAGGAAGCCCCCACTTCCCTTTGGCTCCACACCTGTCAAAATGGGGACGTGCCTGGCAGAAACTGGGAGAAGGGAGAAGAAGGAGCTGGGAAGCAACACCTAAATGAGTGAAGGGAAAGTGCCTCACGTGTTCCAATTTGTCTTTCCTCCGGAGCCAGACGCTGGCACTGTAGTCCTGCTGCTTGACGGCGCTGTAGAAGTTGGAGCCCACTCGGGTCAGGCTGGGCGAGGGCTCGCGGGCTTTGCTCTTCAGCCTCAGCTGCTCGAAGCCCTCCGGGCGGGACGAGGAGGCCAGCCAGTCGCTCCTGCCTTCCATCTTGACATGACAGGGCGGAGGGGGAAAGAAAGAAATAGAGAGAGAGAGAGAGAGAGAGAGAGAGAGAAGAGCCCCGACAAGAAGAAGAACCCAGCTGAGGTGGGAAGAAGAAGAAAGAAGGTGCAGTAGGGAGAGGAGAACAAAGAAAGAAAGAAAGAAAGAACTGGGAGGGAAGGAGGGAAGGCGGGAGAAGCTCGAGGGGAAGGAAGAAGGGGGTCGACCCAGGAGCGGAGAGGAGAAGGCGAGCAGCTTGTTGCCCTCTCGGAGCTGCAGTCCGTCCTCGCCTCGCCTCCTTGCGGCACTGGCTGGCAGCAGCAGCAGCAAGGAGCAACACCAGCAGCAGCAGCAACAGCAACGGGGGCCACACAAGGAGAAGAAGAAAGAGAACGGCGGGGGCGCGCGCGCGCATACACACACACACACAAACACTGAAAAGGCGCGAGGGGGGCGCGCGCCGCCGTCTCTCACTCTAGTAAGGCTTCGCTCCCGCCGCCACTGGCTGCCAGTTGGTGCAGTGGAAGGAAGGAAGGGCTGCGTCCCCTCCCCTCCAGCAGTAGGAAGAAAGGAGGTGACACAGACTGGGAGAAAGTTCTCCCGCCGTTTGAAGTCCCCCAAAACCAAGACACACTCTTTCTCCTTACCTCAGGGGGCTCCCCTAAGGGGTTTATTTGTTTTATTTTTTTTTGTCGCGACTTGAGAAACTGCAAGTTGCTTCTGGTATGAGAGAATTGGCCGTCTGCAAGGACGTTGCCCAGGTACAATTTTTAATATTGAAAAAGCAGGCAGGATACACACATGTTGACTATATGTACCTACTAATGGAAGCATAAAATCCTGCAAATCTCATGGGAAGACAAGCGGACAAATGTATTTTCGAAGGCTTTCATGGCTGGAATCACTGGGTTCTTTTAGGTTTTTTGGGACATATGGCCGTGTTCTAGAAGCATTGTCTCCTAACGTTTCACCTGCATCTATGGCAAGCATCCTCAGAGGTTGTGAGGTCAGCGGACAAATGTCAGGGTGCTGGAAGAAGCAAAGACCACCAGCATTGAAGCGATGGTCCTCCGCTATCAACTCCGCTGGACCGGCCACGTTGTCCAGATGCCCAACCATCATCTCCCAAAGAAGTCACTCTACTCTGAACTCAAGAACAGAAAAAGGAATGTTGGTGGGCAGGAAAAGAGATTTAAAGATGTGGCATAGATACGGAGAACTCAGAAGCCCTGGCCCTTGAGCGCTCCAGCTGGAGGTCAGCTGTGACCAGCAGTGCTGTAGAATTTGAAGAATCATAGAATCATAGAATCATAGAATCAAAGAGTTGGAAGAGACCTCATGGGCCATCCAGTCCAACCCCCTGCCAAGAAGCAGGAATATTGCATTCAAATCACCACTGACAGATGGCCATCCAGCCTCTGCTTAAAAGCTTCCAAAGAAGGAGCCTCCACCACACTCCGGGGCAGAGAGTTCCACTGCTGAACGGCTCTCACAGTCAGGAAGTTCTTCCTCATGTTCAGATGGAATCTCCTTTCTTGTAGTTTGAAGCCATTGTTCCGTGTCCTAGTCTCCAAGGAAGCAGAAAACAAGCTTGCTCCCTCCTCCCTGTGGCTTCCTCTCACATATTTATACATGGCTATCATATCTCCTCTCAGCCTTCTCTTCTTCAGGCTAAACATGCCCAGCTCCTTAAGCCGCTCCTCATAGGGCTTGTTCTCCAGACCCGTGATCATTTTAGTCCCCTCCTCTGGACACATTCCAGCTTGTCAATATCTCTCTTGAATTGTGGTGCCCAGAATTGGACACAATATTCCAGGATGTGGTCTAACCAAAGCAGAATAGAGGGGTAGCATTACTTCCTTAGATCTAGACACTATGCTCCCATTGATGCAGGCCAAAATCCCATTGGCTTTTTTTGCCGCCACATCACATTGTTGGCTCATGTTTAACTTGTTGTCCACAAGGATTCCAAGATCTTTTTCACACGTACTGCTCTCGAGACAGGCATCCCACATTCTGTATCTTTGCATTTCATTTTTTCTGCCAAAGTGGAGTATCTTGCATTTGTCCCTGTTGAACTTCATTTTGTTAGTTTTGGCCCATCTCTCTAATCTGTCAAGATCATTTTGAATTCTGCTCCTGTCCTCTGGACTATTGGCTATCCCTCCCAATTTGGTGTCGTCTGCAAACTTGATGATCATGCCTTCTAGCCCTTCATCTAAGTCATTAATAAAGATGTTGAACAGGACCGGGCCCAGGACGGAACCCTGCGGCACTCCACTTGTCACTTCTTTCCAAGATGAAGAGGAAGCATTAGTGAGCACTCTCTGTGTTCGCACCACAATTGAAGAGAGGTATTGACAAGCTGGAACTAGTTTCCTTGCAGAAGGACCTGGAGGACCTTGTCGAAGAAAGGAAGGACTTCCTGAAATCCAGATACGCTCCATCCACAGCATTCCCCGCATCCACCCAGCTTGTAACTCTATCGAAAAAAGAGTTGAGATGATAGTCTGGCATGACTTGTTTTTGATAAATCCATGTTGACTATTAGCGATGACCGCATTTGTTTCTAAGTGTTTGCAGACCACTTCCTTAATAATCTTTTCCAGAATCTTGCCTGGTATCGACGTGAGGCTGACCGGACGGTAATTGTTTGGGTCATCCTTTTTTCCCTTCTTGAAGATTGGGACCACATTGGCCCTCCTCCAATCTGCTGGAACTTCTCCCGTTCTCCAAGAACTCTCAAAGATGGTTGCCAATGGTTCCGAAATGACTTCCGCTAGTTCCTTCAATACTCTTGGGTGTAGTTGATCTGGCCCTGAAAGGGGACTTGAACTCATTAAGAGCGGCCAGGTATTCCTGGACGACTTCTTTCCCAATTTGGGGTTGGATGTCCTCCAATTCGTGCCTCCAAGAGGCACGAATGAAGGGCTAAAGAGAGAAATGTGCCAAGAGGAAGGCACGTCAAGCCAACCCCGACAGGGACTGCCTTCCACCTGAGGAAACCAATGTCCTCGCTGTGGGAGAAGATGCAGATCAAGAATAGGGCTCCACAGTCACCTATCGACCCACCACCAGTACACAGATCTTGGAAGACTATCCTACTTGGACAATGAGGGATTGCCTAAGGAAGGAAGGAAGCATAAGAGAGGTCCAATATGACCTTCCCTTACAACAGAGTTTTAAAGCCTAAGAACTCCCATAAAGAAACAACCTCAGCCAAGGACAGCATGTTTCCTCTGAATGGATGCCTGGAAGAAGTAATGGGCTGGATGAGTCGCTTCTGGTGTGGGGGGATTGGCCATCTGTAAGGACGTTCCTCAGAGAATATCCGGATGTTTTGATGTTTTACCATCCTTGTGGGAGGCTTCTCTTATGTCCCCGTATGGGGAGCTGATATATGTATGTAAGTAACTTTCAGTCTCACAGGATATGAAGTTCATCTGGAAAGTATGCATAGGGAGGTTGGAGGCAATGCTTTACCCACATTCATCTTGGTTGGTTGCCTACAGAAGATTGTGTTAGGGGATGTGCTCCTTGCTCTTGTTGTGCACCTTGAAATCAATGCTCTGGGTTATGGCAACCCTATAATAGAGTTTTACTGGCAATATTTCTTCAGAGGAGATTTACCATTGCTTCCTTTTAAGATGAGGAAGTGTGTCTTGTTCAGGGTCACTCAGCAGGCTTCCACGATCTCCAGGTGTTCTTTGCCAACAACACTAAACTTGCAAAGTATGTTTCAGAATTCATCTTGTGTCACATAACATTTAACATCCACATTTTTTTCATGTCAGGAGCAACTTGAGAAACTGCAAGTTGCTTCTGGTATGAGATAATTGGCTGTCTGCAAGGACGTTGCCCAGGGGATGCCCCGATGTTTTGATGTTTTACTATCCTTGTGGGAGGCTTCTCTCTTGTTCCTCGCATGGGGAACTGGAGCTGATAGAGGAAGCTCATCCGCGCTCTCCCTGGATTCGAACTTCCAACCTGCTGGCCTTCAGTCCTGCTGGCACAGAGGTTTACCCCTGAGGTAAAGAGAAGAGATACTTAAACAAAAAACCATAAAATATAGGAAGAAGGTATTTAAAAGGGTCCTTTCAATACACCAATGGTGTTCCCATGCCACCCAGCTGCGCTTTGTCCTCCTCACTGGTGCTGAAAAGTTTCCTGGCCAGTGCCAGAGGGCTGGTGTCAAGAAGAGTGAACGTGGGGGCCTGGGACTGTGCTTCTCATCGGGGATTCCTTTGGCCGGTGCTACCTGTACAGGAATTATAGAATCATAGAGTTGGGAGTTGGGCCATCCTGTCCAACCCCTTGCCAGGAAAATCCCATTCCAAGCACCCCTGACAGATGGCCATCCAGACTCTGCTTATAAGCCTCCAAGTGCACTGATACATTTGTGAACATTCGGGGGCTCTTCCATGATGACATGATGGCAGCAGTCTTGGACAGCAATGGCTCCCAAAGTGACCCATATAAGGTGGAATCAGGTGTCAAACAGGGATGTGTTATTGCCACAACCAAGGTAACAACAACATCTGTTATAGAACTCCAGTATACTGATGACAATGTAGTCTGTGTGCATTCAGAAGAAGACGTACAAACCATTCTAAACACCTTTGCAGAAGCATACGAGTAGCTTGGCCTCTCATTGAACACTGAGAAAACCTAAGGGCTCTTCCAGCAGTCACCAGCCAATGCCTCTGAAATGCCAGAAATACAGCTTAATGGTATAATGTTGACCGTTTCCACTACCTTGGCAGCTTCCTCTCCACTAAAGTTAACATTGACACTGAAATACAACACTGCCCTAGCTCTGAGAGTGCAGCATTTTTCAGAATGAAGCAGAGAGATGAGCACCACCCCCCAGAATCAGACTCGACTAGACTTAATATCAAGGGGAAACCTTTGCTTTTACCTATGACCATTTCAGTCCTTTTAAAAGTCATCTTCCAGAATGTCCCAATGCTGGTATATTTGTATTCACACAAGAAAAACAACAAAACCTTTCACTTTTTTCCCTGAAACTTCCTGCTCCTTAGCCCAGAACAACACTTTCTCCAGAAACAGGGTGCCTATAGTGTGGATAAAGACCCTGCAGGAACCAGATCCTGGCTGATATTGAAAAATAAGAAAAGTCGGCCCTGTTTCATCCTTGACAGAATACTAGCTCCTGTAGGCTATATTTCAGAGAAAGAAGTGAGTATTCCTTGCCTAAGAAAACCTTATGAAACCCATGGGTAATCTTAAGGCAGCAGATGACTTGAAGGCACATAGACACACACGGATGCCCCTTTCTGTGAAGAGGTTTATTTCCCCAGAGCTTCCAAGTAGCCTTTGCTGAGGCAGTGCATGCTATCAATCTATTTCCCTATATCTGGTTTTCTCT